TGGCGTGTGCTTTGGTGACCTCCATCTCGTCAAGCCGGCGCTGGAGGGCCGCAATGACTTCGTCCCGGGGGTCCTTCGGGAGGGCCTCCGCCCCCTGTGAACGGACACGGGCCGAGTGGGCCTGGTTGATTTGGTGACGGGCGTCGTCGGCATGGAGAGGTGCCTTGCCCTTGTCCTGAGGGGGACGTCTTTCATTAGCCGTGGAGACGGATCCGCCACTTTCCTGAGGCCTCTGGAGCACCTTCCCCCGAGGAGGTCTTGGACCCCTCGGCGGTCTTGCGCCCCTCCGAGTCTTTCGAGGGCGGAGGTCCAGGGCTGTTCCTTGTTCATGTTGTGGTGGTCCCGGGATTGGACTTCCTGGGAGGCCGTATCTTGGGCCCTGACGCCTCCACGTTCCCAGTGACCCAGTCCGGAGGACAGGGTTCCCGAGGGGGTGTGGATGAGGGGGAGGCATGACATTCTCCCCGACCTGAGGTTGGAGGGGAACCAAAGTGCCGAAGGCACCCGGATTCTGGGTGAGCGTCTGGATGAAGGCGGAAAACGCCGACTGTACGTCGATAGTGATGACCGGAGGGCTAACTTTGTTCTCGCTCCGGTCCTTCTTCTTGGCCTCGATGCCGAGGCGGGCATCGGGGGCATTCTGTTGGATCTGATGGCGTAGGTCGATAGCCTTCTGGTCCAACCCGGCGATGACGCCGCCCCCGGGAGCCCTGTTAGAGGCTTCGGGGACGTCGACTTCGCCGAGGGCAAGGTTCCTGTCCTCAACGTTCTTGGAGTTGGCACGAGTTGTTCTCACCATTTTCGCTAGGGGTTTTGTGCTTGGCGAGGGGGGGGGGGTTTCTTACTTTATTATTTGACCTCTCAACGAGAGCACCAAATGATGGATAGTCTACCCGGGGGTATGTATCCGAAGGGTTATTGCGGGGAATAACTAGAGAGAAGTCAGAGCATAAGTAAGAGAGAGAGAGTATATTGCTGAGAAAGTAGTGAGCGTATTTCGCTTGGGTTACAAATGGGGAAAGGGGTGCTATTTATAGGAGTAATAAATGCCAGATAGGGACATGTGTCATCATTCTGGTGGTCGAGGGGTCACCTCAACGGGGTGGCACTGGCATTCGCATGTGGCCGCATTAAATGCGGCTGTTGGATGTGATGTCGTACTTGGTACGGTGATTCAGGCGCATGACGAGAGGATATTATGTCGAGAAAGGTGCCCTCGGTTGCAGATGATTAGCTGAGGGCTCTGAGTACCGGGAACCCCCTCAGTGCGGGGGGATCTGGGTGCCGAGGGCTACTGATTTTCGCCGTTTTCTCACAGTAACTTTGTTTGCTTGAGTTGGCCATCCTGTGAGGATTTGGAGCCTTCGGCCAGGGGGCCGAAGGCACCCCTAGTGTGCCACGTGGGTTGCTCAGTACTTGGGGTGCTGTGATTCGGGCCTGTTGTGCTTCCTGGGCCATATTCTCCATCAGTTTCCTTGTGGATTCAACCCGGTATTTTACCGGAATTTATTACTATATCGACACTTGCACACTTGCAAGTTTAGCCCGGTTAGACAACTAGGCCATTAATTACCCTTCCTATAAATAGAGCATCCCCCCATTGTAATCCAGAACATCACATTCGAATAACTCACTGAACTTTACTCTTATTTGCCCACTTGTCATCTTCCTTATTGTTCTTGTACGAGACCCTATATACATATAATTTTCTTTTTTAATTAGTTTTAGCTTGTCGAAAAATTGCTTAAACACACAACCACCTTAATTAAAATGTTAATCATCATTCATAAACTAATTAAAAAGATAGCACCATTAGTTCATAAGAAATTAAACTAGTTACTTTACATATTTGTCTATGAAAATAATTTAAAGTTTATTAAATCTCCAAGTATAAGTAAAATTAAGATAATTAAATGAACATGTCACACTTCATTGACTAAGAGTCTTTGTTTACAAAAAAAATACTAAAGAAAGAAGGTTTGATGCATTTGGAATAGATAATTGAGGAAAATGACTTAGGAGTTTAATTATATAGTCATGAAAACTATTTTTAATAGATTGAGAAGTTTCTTCAATTGGAAGTCTTTGTCTAGACACAAGAACATGAAGAGCTTTCGTGTGTTGTTAGTATATTATATTATACTAGTATAAATATAATAGAGATTATTAAAATAATATTTTAAAATGGTTCGGTCTGAACCTATGCATTCAAGCGGTCTTTCCCTTTGCTTAGGGTTTGAGTGTGCCGTTACCGTGCGGCTTTTTCTTTATCGCAGCATCCAAGCGCCGACTTGGCCTGCTTTGACATTTGTGGTAGCGTGAAGGATGGAGGGCGAGGCTGCGAAGATGCACAAGGAATAACGCGAGCACGAATGGGAACCAGTGGAGAGCCTAGCCGACAAGTATGTGGGATGAGGAGAGTTGCATGAGCTTCAAATAGGCCAGATTTCGATCGACAATGGAGGATCTATTAGAGTGGTACCAATGATACGGCCTCCTCCTGAACAACCGCCATGGATAGTACGAGGTGCTAGAGTCCGTGAAAGTCTTCGTATTAGTTATTATTATTTTGTCATTTGGTTTTTTTGTTATCGTATTTGTTATTGGGTCCGTCAGCTTGTTTGGGAATTTAGCTTGTGTTTATGTCATTGGATATGTTTGTCTCTATGGGAACAAGGATGACTGTGTCAAGCCCGTTGCATGGTTAGTGATTCGTGTTGCTCATTCAGGGGTGATCGTCTCTAAATCTGATCATAGGGTTTACAGTCGTAATTGTTGGAGTTTAATTAGTTGGTGTCAGATTTGTTTTTCCTTTGATTGATGTAATGATCCTGAAACTTATGGTATGAATAGAGGCAAGTTTTGGTTCAAAAAAAAAACGATTCGGTCTAGGTACCCGTTTTTTCAAAGTTTAAGACCCGTTCGGTTCCTAATTTTTCAGGACCCGCCCCCGCCCCGAACCGTTTCATTTTTTTAAAATTAAGATCCGACTCTAACCCGCCCTGAAACTGTATTACCCGACCCGACCCGTGGTTCCAATACCCGTTTGCCCACCCCTAACTCCCACCATCAAAGTGAATTTGTAATTGTTGAGAAAATGATCAAACATGACATTATAAATAAAAGAAAATGCCCTAAATACAAGTAAAAATGTCTATGAATTTCAAAATAGGATTACATGCTTTTTACTTTTTATCTTTCTATATTGTTATGTTATTTTTATATTTCTTATGCTCTCTTATATTGTTCTCTTTTATCTTGGTCCAAAAGGTGGAATCTCCCACCCCAGGAGCCCCCATACCCCGACCCGACAGGATTTTTGGGAGGATGTTAATCACGGTGACTCAGTCGGCCCAATGATGGTAGACCTTTTTCTCGTGCGCACCAGAGCCCCAGTCTTATTTCAGGTTATGTGACCTCCACACGGCCGCTGCGGGTTTCGAACCTTGGTCACTTGGTCCAAATTTCCCACCACTGAACCAACTGAGCTACCCGTGCGGGTATCTTGTTCTCTTTTATCATTCTTATGTTATCATGTTATTTTTATCTTATACTACTATTTATCTTTATTTTATCCGATTTATCTTACTTTGATTTTTTTTAATCTTTTTATTTATTTTTTCTTTTTGGCTCTCATATTTTGGATCAGTTCATGTTAGCCAACTCCAAAATCTTTTGAGGACAATGTTTGAATGTTATTGTTGTTGTATTCCCTTAATAAGATTCTTTCTAAAATATAACCAATAAAAATATCATGTTAAAAATGTGATTTAATAACTTTTAGTAACTATAATCGCTTCCAAAGTTAAATCATAATAAGTTCATTTAGTTATTACACCGTAGTTTAAAGTTCTTTTCTCAACTTGTCATACCATACAAGATGATAGTGATGAATTAAATATGAAGAGTTTAACATAATTTTTTTAAAGGGAAAAGAGTCAGATAGGGCCTCGAACTTACATAAAAGGGTCAAATAAAACCTTATAAATGAAGCTCTGTCCGGCCGTCGCCAAAAAAATTGGTATGGATAAACTAGACTTGATGAGGAACATGCTCAAAAAATTTCATTAAAAAATTCCACCTGGAACCGCCCCAAATGGTGGTGTTCGGATGGCGTTCGGACCGGAAGGTGCTGGACCTGAGAATTTTCCAATATATATATATATATATATATATATATATATATATATATATATATATATATATATATAAATCACCGGGGCACGGGCACCCCCTAGCCCTAGGGTGGGTCCGCCCCTGTTCCTAATCAGTACTATCTAGACACGCATACAAGTATACAACATTAATCTTTAAGATAATGCTATTAATTGTCATAATAATTATAATGCTATTAATTAATACATGTGGATAAAGATAAGCAAAAAATACATAAAAAATTAATTAGTCTAAGATATAATGATATATGGGTCACCGATTGCACGTTGGTACCAAGAAATTACATAAAATAAAAATCCCATTAAGCCTCTTTCTTCTCAGGCGGGAAGAGTAATAAGCGATTTAAGTGATGTTAAAATTTCTTTACTTTTCAGACAAGTAAGCCCGGGAGAGAAACACACTTTTACCATAAAAGTTGGATTAAATTGGCAAATTGCAATCCCTTTTCAATGATATATTGCTAAATTGCTTAATACGCTTAGAGGGGGCACTTAGAAAAATTATTTTTATAACTGTTTAGCAACTTTTAGCTTTTAGTAATTGAAAAAGATGGGTTGTTTAATAAAAAACTATTGCTTGATATGATATATAAATTCTTGGGACTAATTAATGCTGAAACCAACATACTTTTTCAAATGTTACTTAACATCTCAAAAAAGCTTTTTATTTTATTTTAAAAAACTCTAAAAAAATTGACATGACAAATATAAAATTAAAAATTAAAAAGTTTTTTAAATTCACCCAAAGTAACTTCCAAAACTCTGGAAACACAGAAGCCCTTTTTTTCTTGCCGTTACTTGTGATGCTAAATTAGACAATTAATCGTGGTTGGGTTTTAGAGTCAGAGTGCTCTCAGTCTCTCACCATCATCTTCAACATACGAGCATTATTCCTGCTTCTATAAAATCTACGTTGACCAGACTTTTTTCGGTCTTTCCAGCTTTCGCGGTACTTCAAACCCAATAAACAGCGCGTATCTGATTCGACGTCCACTTTCCTCTCTCTTTTGCTATCTTCCTCGCTAAGCAAAACAATTAACCAAAGTTCTTCATCAAGGATTATAATTTTGGCTGCGATTTTCTGGTGACTGGGATAATTTTGGCATTTTTTCATTTGATAGTTGCTCCGGATCATATAGTTAGTACTTAGTACAGTACTCGGTTCTCGATTAACAGGGGAAGTTTGAGGATTAGTCGGAGAGCATGTTGACTAATTTGGTCAACACTGTGATGATGAGGTTAGGTTCCACCGTATCGGATGCCGATCGCCTCTCCGTTGATTCCATAACTTTGTTCGTAACGCTACTCTGCGCATGCATTGTCATTGGTCATCTTCTAGAAGAAAGTCGGTGGATTAATGAGTCCGTTACTGCTCTACTTATCGTGAGTAGCTTTTAGTAGATTTTTTGTTTGTTCGCGCCGGATTCCCTGATCGATGTTGGCTACTTGTGAATAATTGATTCTTATGATTCTAAGAAAATTCATGGGTGTTCGGGTTTGGTGCAGGGGTTGTTCTCGGGAGGAATCATTCTACTGACTAGTAATGGAAAGAGTTCTCGTATCCTCGAATTTAATGAAGAACTCTTCTTCATATACCTTCTACCACCTATTATATTTAACGCTGGGTGAGATTTACCATCACTTCCAGTGTTGTTTTGGCGTCAAGATCACATGTGAAGCTGTTTTGTATTTCTAAATTAATTAGTTCTTGTATTGGAACCTAAACTCTTTCTTGTCCCTTGAGTCACCAGGTTCCAGATGAAAAAGAAGCAGTTTTTCCGAAATGCTTTCATCATTTTGCTGTTTGGCGTCATTGGTTCACTAATATCATTTTGTATTATATCATTCGGTATGCTTTGCTTCAGCATTGATCATCACATATAATTTTTGTTTTTGGATCACCATCACTAAATATGAATTTGCTACCCTTTTAGTAGTTATTATTGGTCATGCCTAATATTTCGGTTCAGGTGCCAAAGAGTTATTTGAGAAGATGGGCATTGCTTATTTGGAGCTTCGAGATTATCTTGGTAACACTCCTTTAAGCTTCTTTTCGTGCTTCAATGCTTAAGTTGTGTTCTCAACTTTGTTTATACCAACTGAAGTTCTCAACTTCATTGGTATTTGAGACTATATGGTAATGTAGCGATGGTGGTTTGATACTTCCACTTAGGTAGACATTGGTTGTTTGATATCCAATAGCTTCATACCACAATTTCTACTACAAGAGGTCTATTATAGAATCACTGCAACCCTAGACTATTTTTAATCTTTATGTATTCGTAAAGACTATTTTTCATTCAATTGCAGCAATTGGAGCTATCTTTTCAGCAACAGATTCTGTTTGCACCTTGCAGGTATCGCCACGTTTGACCAGTAGTTAATTGTTCTACCATAGAAGATCGTATATAAATAATGAATTTAGTTGTGAGTCTTGTGACTGTGAGCTTTTGTGGTCTTACCCAACAGGTGCTCAATCAGGATGAAACGCCTTTGCTATATAGTTTAGTTTTTGGAGAAGGTGTTGTAAACGATGCAACATCGGTGGTACTTTTTAATGCCATCCAAAAAGCTGACCTCACTAATATCAACTTCAAGGCGGCCTTACAATTAACAGGCAGTTTTCTTTATTTGTTTACAGCTAGTACTCTTCTAGGAGTTTTGGTACGTATTTATCTTTGCTGTTATATTTATACTATTGAATGGTCCATTATACACTTTTCAATCAAGCACATTTGTTCAGACTTCAGAAGTTTTTTTTTAGATTATATTTTTCCTCATTAACAATTAAAATCACTGTCTTGTCACCCTGAGACATAATACAAAGGATATTGAATAACCACCACTGAAAATACCCAAATATTTATGTTTTCTTGAGTTTGGCTTTATCTAATTAGATGAAATGTGCATTTAAAATTTGTAGGTTGGGTTGCTCAGTGCGTACATAATCAAAAGGATATATTTTGGCAGGTCCGGTATTTGGTTTCTTTCATTCTACATCAATTCTATCATCACACCCTAATGGATAATACCCTATTGCCACATGTTTTGAATCTTTTCATTCTTTTATCTGTGCTTTCTGTTTTGAATGCCCAACCTATCAATGCATATTTGGTTTCCCAGTTTGAAATTAAACTTCATGACATACTTTAGTTTTTTCTCCTGGAATGATTATCATCTCTCTAGCAATTACAACTCTGGTTATTGCATCTTTTTACTTCCACCTGCAATTAGGGTTCAGATATCTTTTCCATTGGGGGGTTTGTGTTTAGACTCAGCTAATTCTTCTGTGGTATCACGAATTAGGGGTATGCTTCCACTCATGGTCAAAAAGCTAAAATTATAGCTTAGTTTTCAATATGTGCAAGATATGTTGGATGTAGTAACTTATTTTATGACTTCAGCAGCTGACTGATATGACAGGCACTCAACAGATCGTGAAATTGCGCTAATGATTCTCCTGGCTTATCTTTCATATATGTTGGCTGAAGTATGTTTGCAATGATATATTGAATTTGTGCTGGTATTTATATAAGGGGTGTATTATGAAATTGTTTATAATGATCACTACATCTTTCAGCTACTTGACTTAAGTGGAATTCTCACTGTGTTCTTCTGTGGGATTGTTATGTCACATTATACTTGGCACAATGTGACCACAAATTCTAAATTGACAACCAGGTATGTTAGATTCAAATATTTCACATTAAAAAAGATATCCCATGAGTTCTTAAATCAACATGCATACTTTCTTGCATAGTTGGAATCTTTTGTTTTGTGCAGAACTAAGTTATTTACCCCCTGTTGGAATCTTTTCTGTTTCTTTGCAGGCATGCTTTTGCAACACTATCATTTATTGCTGAAATTATCATCTTCCTATATGTTGGTATGGATGCTTTAGATATGGAGAAATGGAAACTCATTAATGACACGTGAGATGCTAATCTATTAAATGCTGTTAGAAGTAATATATGCATTGCTATCCTACTACTCTACTATGCATGAAAGTATGCATGTTTTCTTTCTAGTTTATATGGAGTACTATTATAGACCAGTTTCCTAGTTTCAGCGTCCATAAGAAATTTATCTTTTTCTTTGGAAAAATGAGTCCGTTTTGATTAAACATATCTAGTTTTTCATGTAATCTGTCAAAAAAAGTGCCAAAAAGGGGTCAGACACATTTTTTTGCAATCACTGTAACCTTAATATTTGTTGAACAATAGTGTCAATCTTGATTGGGATGAGTGCTGCAATCAGAGCACAGTGGTATAAGTTAAAAGGTACAAGTATCAATCATGTTTGTGTCAACTGTGCCATTCCAAAATTTAACATTTTGTGCTATACCCCTATAGGATACCCCTATAGGACTTCTTCAAGTTTTTGAGACATAGGTAGACAGGTAGTATTAGTTTTTGCTTTCTGTTTTAGGTTTTCTAAGTTTTTTAATTAAAACTTACAGACCAGGTAAATATGTTGGAGCGAGCGCTGTGTTGCTTGGACTGGTTTTGGTTGGAAGAGCATGCTTTGTCTTTTTACTGTCCTTCCTATCTAATTGTACAAACCAATCGAAGACTGACCAAATAAATGCCAAGCAACAGGTCATATTCAAAAGCTCCCTAAGATTTATGATAAATCTCAAGTGGTGGTTATAATGAATAATAATCTAATACCTCTTGCAGGTAGTAGTTTGGTGGGCTGGTTTGATGCGAGGAGCTGTTTCTATCGCATTGTCGTATAATCAGGTATATTGTAGGTCAGCAAGATTGTCCTTTTAAACAATTTTGAGAAACGCACTAAACTACAAGAACAACAACCATTGTTTTAAAACCTGATTGTTGTTCTATTGTCAGTTCACAAGGTTTGGCCACACACAGCAGCCAGGGAATGCTCTCATGATCACGAGCACAATCACCGTCGTCCTCTTCAGTACAGTGGTAAGTAAATTTGCCATGTACCTTTAACTGCATCAAAATGAGATTCTGTCATTTTGACATTTCAACTATAGAATTTTCGGTGTTGCTGTCTCTGAACTCGGTTTGTTGCCAATCATTCTTGCTATTTGAGCTAATAATATATAAGCTCTGCATACAAGGTTGCAACATGCCTTTGTGTCTGTCCACAAGAATGGTCCCATTCCTTTAATGGGGTAAAAAGTTGTTGCTCCACATAAATGTTATCCTACTTGGCAAGATTTGAGGATAAAAAGTGTCTAAAAAGTTGTGTTAGCTATTAGGGGAACCTTACATTGAGACTGATATGACTAGATGAGCCTAAATCACCCCAAAAGGAACTTATGTTACATATGGATCTGCAAGTATTCAATATTGGATGTTTAACATGTCCCTAAAGCCCAACCGGGCAGGAAAGCTTAAATGGTGAAATAGTTGACCTGGCTCTCATATCATACTAAATTAGGTCTCACTCACCTCAAAAAGATTTTAAGAGGTGAGGTTCACCTCACACACATATAAGATTTAAATTTGATAAACATCTGCTTTGGAATACGTAACACGAGGGTGATGTTCTCATGTTTGACAGTTGACAGTGCATTCTGTTTATATATATATATATATATATATATATATATATATATATATATAGTATGGATCAAATAAAAAATGCTTCCTAGGTGAAAAATAAGAACTAATCTTGGCCATTGATATGAAAAAAAGGATGGAAGAGATCAAATTTTAAGTGAAAAACGCGGTGGCGTTTTGGTAATTATGAAGAACTTTTAATAAAAATATTATACGAAAAGTGTACCAAAATATGCAAAAAAGTGTACATGCAGACTACAAAAGTGCATAACAGTACATCATAAAATGTGCACAAATTTAAAAAAATTAGCAATCTTTTTTAACTCTTATGAGTACACTTATTAATCTAATATCTACTTTGTACTATAAACGTTTGCACATTATTTGAGTCTGTGTCTTGTGATTAAAGTTCATCTAATCCATCCATTTACAAGTTATTTAAGGCTAAAATTTGTTCTCACTTTTCATGGAAAGACAACTTTTTACCGAACTCACCCCTATATATATATACTTTTTAGGTGTTTGGACTCCTAACCAAGCCTCTTGTGAAGTGCTTGTTGCCTCCATCACAACATTTGAGCAGCTCGCTCTCATCTGACCAATCTGTTGCGCTCCCACTATTAAGCTCTTCACAAGTGTTAGACGCTGGAGGTGAGACGGATAATGGGAATATTTATCGACGATCAAGTTTCTGCATGCTTCTGAGCCAACCTACTAAGACAATTCACTGCTACTGGAGGAAATTTGATGATTCATGCATGCGACCTGTGTTTGGAGGGAGGGGATTCATCATTCCTGAATCCTGATGATCATGGCTCGCCGTTGCGAGCTATCGTTCACTAACCACTGTCCGAAGGTAATATAACTTGCTAAAATTACATTATTTGTGTTGCTCTATGAAAGATATGTACGTGCCCCAGCACACTACAAGCCGTGGTGGAGCCAGAAATGCGGTATTGGGGGAGTGGATATCTGCCATTGGGGCATCTGCGGATCTGCCGTCATGCTCTTCATCTGTATAGCATATTATATGAATACTATCATTGTTCTATGATTACTATGATAACTATCCCAGTGCTCGTTTTGTATAGCATTGTTGATCAATTACAATATCAGTATTGTATAGCATATTCAGTGTACATGCTAGACAATGTGTATTACTACCAGACAATCAGCACATATGACAGTATGACATGTAATCTTGAATGTAATATAAACTAATAATGTATAAAGAATTAGAGTCGTGTTGAAAGAAATTATGTATTGTGTGCTATAGTTTAGATAGATAGTGTAGTATAGATTATCCTATGGGTCTATTGACCCTTCTCTGTAAACCTTATATCACCTTATTTATAGGGCACATTGGTAATGAAGTTAAGCAACCATTCTCCTCCAACACGTTAACTGTAGCATTCTATCTTTCCCAAAACCCTACTAGCACGGTTGTGGTAGCACACAGTCGGCCGCCCCTCAGCCTAGCGGCACACACATCCGTCCGTCCCTCAAATCGCAGCCCCACTCAATAGCTCGCTACTACTCGATGTTTTCAGTCGCTCACCGCCCCGCCGCAAGGTGCTTGCTCACAGGCGAAGTTTTCCACCTTCTGAATCGCTTGTTGAAGTTTGCACCCAATAGATCAATCGGCTAAGGTAGACGTCACCTATTGGATCTACCATTGAAGGCTAAAGCCTTCGCTCGTTGCCGTTGGAAGGTCGCTGTCATTTGTTGCTCGAGAGTCGAGAGTGACAGTGCAGTTGCGTCCTCAACAACTTTGTCATCACCAACTGAATCCAAAGAGTTCAGATGCACAAAATCAGATCCGAGGTCAGTCATTCCCATGCATGTTCAATCTCTATTCTAGAGCTGTCAAACGGGCCAACCCGACCCAACCCGATCCGACCCGACCCGTGACGGGTTATGGTCTATGTGGGTTGGGTCGGGCCAACCCGTTTAATGACGGGCCAGAATTTCTACAACCCTAACCCGACCTATCTAACCCGTGGGTTAAACGGGTTGGCCCGCGGGCCAATATGTAAAAAAATATATATAACAAAAAAAAATAAAAATAATTACCTGGAAATATATATTTATATTAGTAAGTAGTAACAAAGGAAATATAAGAAATCCAAATACTAAAAATTCAATACTTGTTAAGTTTAATTAAAAAATATTAAATACTAGTTATACGAGAATTTGAAAACTATAAGAGGTTATGCGACAAAAATACTCATTGTATAAAATAAAGATCTACATAACCTTTTGATTAGTTATTTGTAAATAATGACTACTAATTGTTCAATATTGTATCGAACTTCACATAAAATATATGTTTCAACATTTTATTTGAAAATTTAATATAGAAATAAATATTGGTTTTCCATGGTTGTAATTTTTATTTGTAATTATAATAATATTGGTAGTAAAAGGACAATATTTAAGATAATAAAATTTAAAACTATATTTTTGTATATGGGCGCACGGGTCAACCCGCAACCCGGTGGGCCAACCCACTTAAACCCACAACCCGCGTGGGTTGACCCGTGAAACCCGCGAACTAAATGGGTCAGAAATTCGCAACCCTAACCCACCAATAAATGGGTTTAAACGGGCCAGCCCGTGGGTTTCGGTCCATTTTTACGGCTCTACTCTATTCCCATGACAAAGCTTCAACTGAAGGTGCGTTTTCCGGATGTTTTACAGATATACGGGAATGTCTAACATGGGTTCCCAAAATGCGGTTGGAAAATTGGGGTTTACAAAAGAGGGGAGTGGGATTTGCCAAATCCCACTAGAGATAGGGGTTAATTTTTTTTTTTAATTTCCTCTCCAAAATGTGTAGGCTTCCAACTCTAATACGGAGTAATAGATATTGTGACTAGACTAGGTAGACCTGGACAAAACCGGGCTGGCCCGCCCAGCCCGCCCAGTCCGTCCGCACAAATGGGCGGGCTTGAGCATATATATTTACCTACCGGGTCGGCTCGAGCCCGGCCCGCAATAAGATATGGGCGGGCTTGGCTTAGGGTGTAGGCCTGTTCGGGCCGATATGCCCGGCCCGTTACATTTAGTATATATAAATATATATGTTTATATATATATATATATATATATACATATATATATATACTAATTTATTTATTTATTTGCTTATACACATGTATATTTATATTTACTAATTTTTCTTTATACATATTCATAGTTTATTATGTTTAAATTTAAATTTTTAGTTCTTAACAATTAGCCCAACCAATATAATATCTATTTCTGTACTTAAAGATAATACTTTGTGCTTAAATTTTAAATTTTAGATATAGTTTCTCATTATTATTTTTGTGTAAGTATTTTTTTTGTATGTGGTGAAAGACGTATAAACATTATAAGCGTATTAATTATTTTTTAAATGTTGTAATATTATTTTTTAAGTATTTAAAAAATCATATCATTTTGATAAAATTAAAGTTTTCCCGGGCCGGACGCCCGGTGGACTACCCGGCCCGCACTTATGGGCGGGTATGGACATAGGGTTAGGCCCGTTTTTGCGGGCCGGACCGGGCCCGCCCACACATGATGGACATAAAATTTATAAAAAGCCCGACCCGAACCCGTTTTTGTACAGATCTATGACTAGGGTGGTAGGGCCGTAGGGTCATCCTTTTTGTGGAGAATGGAACAGCACGCGGAAGGATGTGGACCCAAAAATAAATAACTAAACTAATTTTTTAAAGTATTAGTATTTTAACAGTATAAACCTTTCAAAAAAAAGTATTAGTAGTATAACTTTTTTTATTTGTAATACAAATTTTATATAAACCATAACCAAAATTCATAAATACTGGTTACTTTACCGTAATTTTTACATTTATATTTTCTAAAATGAAAAATATGCACTTTACTTTTTAGGAAAAATATGCACGTCAATTTTAATCTGATTAAAGTTTATCCGATAGATTACATAGGGGGTGTTTGGCAATTGACCGTTGACTGTAGGCTGATTCTGTTGGCTGAGTCATGACAACGGATCTTGTTGGCTGTTTTGATTAGCTGATAGTATTAGCAGTTTGTAAAATGATGTTTGGTTAAGTGGATGTTCACAATCAGCTGATTACTTATTAAAATGATTTTTAAGGACATCAATTAATTTTTTTTTCAACTACTTTATAAACATATATCGTAAAAGAAGACCACCAAAATTGAGAAACATTGGGTAAAATCTATTTTTAACACTACTTTTATATTGGTACCTAATATCAATATACATGTGGAATCCACTAAGCCTTAAATATCTAGTACAAGTTGGAGGTTTTTTAAAGCTTCATTTTGTTTATTTCAAAATTAGTTATTTATCTTATATGTTATATCTATGAACCACTTTATTGTGGAAATTACCCAAATCAACCTCTTTTGCGTATCGTATTTCATTTGTGTCGCAAGACTTTTTCCTTTTCATTTATAAACTTTCAGGTTTTCACTTTTATTTATTTATTTCAAAACCAGCCCAAGCCCCCTAATACATAACCTCTAGCCGGATTATCCATCTTCCCTTGACCAAAACCTCTTCTGTCTCTGCAAAATCGACCGTGAATATAACTGAAATTAGAGATTGTGATATTCATATAGATGAGGCCACCGTGATCCAAGATGAAAACCCCGATTGGGCAGAATCGAAAACCTCAGGGACCATAACAATGACGAAGCAGGCCACGAGCACGAGCAGTACGTGTCAGAGGAAGATGCGACGCGGGTTCGTGTAAACATCGATATTGTTGGTGAGGTAATTGCTGGATGGTGGATATGTGAAGGTCGTGCTGGGCTGTGGATATTTGTAGGCCGTGCTGACGGGTGGAGAGGGGTAATCGTTGGTTGAACAGGCAGGGTACCGGTGATGTTTTTATGCGAGTTTCAATGAGGGCTGAATTTAGATTCACAGTGCTCAGGTCAAAATCAGATTCAGAAACTCCTATCGTGAGCTTCCGTAAATTGTGATCAGATAACATATAGATCAATGGTCACCTCCTCTTTACCTTTTGACTTGGAAATGGATATGTTAGAATCTTCAGTCTGATATAGCAATAATGACTTTATTTGCTTATATGCAGCAGATTGTTAAGAATATGGCATTTCTAGGGTGTCTTTTTTTGTTAAACTCCTCGGATGACTATGACAATTGTCAATATTACATTACTTCGGGGGAAAAGTAAAAAAGCTCCCATCTTCCTGTCTATTGCAAGTTGTTTTCAGTCTCGATTTTGCTAGTTTATTCTAAATTTGAATTAAGTTTACCCAATTGAAATCAATCACTGACCATCTCTTTGTTTGCATTTGCGAAATCCTTTTATAGAAATTGTTACTGCTTAGTGTAACTTATGTACACTCTTGAATATTGAATATGCTATAAAAGCATTGGCTAGATGATTCTGTTTGTCTTGAGTTACAAGGATTATTTGAAAGGAACATGAAACATGTTAACATGTAGCAACAATTAAAATGGATAATTCTATTTGGACAAGCTAGTAAAGTCTATTTGTAATAATAACTTTACTATCATCAGGATTTGCAGCAGTTTGTTAAAAATTGGTTTTGGAACTATAGTTTAAGCATTTATGTTCAGGTTTAAGTGTTGTTCTAGCTACATGTTATCTAACCGTTACTGGATAATGCCATGACTTCAACGAGGTCCATATATCTTATTTAGACGATGAGTTCAGGGGGGGCAAAAATTACTTAGCTTGGTAAGGAAACTTTGTCAAAAACCGAAGTTAGCGGGTCAGTTGCCTCACTCATTCTCTCAATCTCCTCAGCTTGCCATTTATAATGCACTTTAATTCTTCCCATCTTGAATCACATGATGATGATGATAATGAGGATAGTGAGGATGAGCATGCTGATGGGAGAGATTAGAATTTTGTAAGAGGAAGAGTGGGGTAAAGTGAGGTCAAGCTTGACAGTACATGCAGGGCATGAAAATGAAGATGAAGGCAAGAAAAGAAGTTGAGGTAGGCAAAATCGGATGGTTGAAGTGTGTTTTGTGATCAACGGAATTACTACATCTTGGTATAGGAAAAGTATGCAAATGGTAGAAGAAATGTAATGATAGTTCTGAAGTACTGATCTGATCGTATATTGAATACGTAAGAAGCTTTGGTTTGCCCTGCTTATAAAAATGTTGTATGCGATGAGATTGTAATGATAGTTCTGAACTTCTTATCATATATTGAAGATGTATTTATCATCACAAACTTGTACATATTATATTTATTTATTTTGTTTCTTTGTGTTGCATGTTGTTTCTTTTTGTTGTTTCTTTTTGTTGTATGTTGTTTCATTTTATTTTTTTTGTTTCTAGTTCTTGTATGCAGTTGCTTTTTGTTGTGTGGTGTCACTTTTCAATTTCCTTTTATTTGAGCAACTACAACACAATCTAATTGATGGATAGTCTACCCGGGGGTATATATCCGAGGGGTTATTGCGGAGAATAACTAGAGAGAAGTCAGAGCAAATAAGTAAGAGAGAGAGTGTATATTCGATATGTATTCAGCGTGGTTACAAATGGGGAAATGGGGGGCTATTTATAGTAGCAATAAATGCCGGGCAGGGACACGTGTCAAGCGCTCATTGGCCGAGGGGTCGCCTCAACTGGTTGGCGCTGGCAGCCGCATGTGGCCGCATTTAATGCGGCTGTTGGATGGGACGTCTGTGCAGAGTACGGTGATCTGTACGTATGTGAGGCGGATATCTTGTCGAGTGAGATGCCTTCGGCCATAGAGCAGTAGCCGAAGGCTCCTTCAACCGAGGGCACCTTGGTGCCGAGGGCTCACAGTACCGAGGGCTACTGTTTTCGCCGTTTTCCCCCAGTTTCTTAGTTTGCTTGAAAACCTGTTCTGTGAGAATTTAGAGCCTTCGGCCGGGGGGCCGAAGGCACCCCTGGCGCGTAGTGCGGGCTGCTTGGTATTCTGGGCGCTGTGATTTGGGCCTGTTGGACCTTTTGGGCCCGTTGGGCCTTTTGCTGGAGTAGTAGGAGTCTGTGGGCCGGGGGTTCTCGGGCCATATACTCCATCAGGAGTCCCTCACTCCTTTTGCCGAAAGGTACTTGAGGGAAAAGGAGTAATTTGTGCTTTCCCTTTGATGTTGTCCCGTTGTGATCTCTGAGGTTGGTGAGGAGTTGTTGCTTTTATGTCCCTGCCGAAGGCAGTCCCTCAGTTACCCACATGTCAGGACTTGAGGGCTTGCTTTGTTGTTTGTTGGAATTTCACAGATTTTGTAATTTAATGATTTTCCCGAAGGGGTCCTCCAGTCCCCCACTCCTTGAGGCACTTGTAAAGTGGTGGAAAGGAGTAAAGTAGTTACGTTGCCGTTGTGGGCCGAAGGTTGACGCTTTTCGTTTCATTTCGGGGGGATGCCTTGTTAAAAACCTCATTAGGAAAAACCCTTTGGGAAAAAATCCTAATGAGGGAAAAAGAGTGCACCGAATTCCCCCAATGATGAATCGAAAATGTCAAACCTTGGTACAAAGTGGGGAATGACGGGAATGCCGAAGGCTCTCTCCTCTGAGGGCTCCTGTGTTGATTAGCCGAAGGCTTGCTGTTGTTGTCCTGGTGGTGCCGAAGGGGAGCCCCTCAATCCAGGGATCGAGGGCCTGCCAGATGAGGGCAGCAGTGAAGTTGTTACCGGGGGGGTCCACTGTCTGTTGATGAGTTGGTGATGAAGATACCCGAGGGCTCCCATTACCAGTGTGCCATGGGCCATCCGTCAATGGGGCACTCCCCGGGGGCTACCCGGTTTTGCAGTGCTGAGGGGGAACCCCGAGGGGTGCCCTGATATGCAGCCCTAGGGATCTGAAGGGGTGATCCCGAAGGCGTGTGTAATGTACTGTGTGGGGCACAACCCGGGGGCACTTCTGGGTGAGTGCACCCGGAGGCTATCTTTGATGAAGTGGAGTGAAGTAGAAAACCCGGGGGCTTCCAAAATATAGCCGTTGGAAATATAGCCGTTGGAATATGTAACGACGGGATATAGCCGTTGGGGGGGGGGCACACGTGGCGTGTGATGGCTGGCTGTCCGTGGGCGGCGTCACCGGTTGGGCGAAGACGCGGTGAGTAATGATGGCGTCCATCCGGAGGCCCGGAACCCAGGCCCAAGCCCGGATTCCAGCGCCTATAAATACCCCAAGGCCAGGCATTCCTCTGTGTGCGAAAAACTTGTTAGCGAAGCTCTGCCAATTTTTCTAGAGAGAGAAACAACAGCCCTCGATTGAATCCTCCGTTCTTAAGGTCAGTTCTCCCCTTGTCCTTCAGCCTCTTAGCTACCTGTACTGTGCCCTTAGGTTAGGAGATAGAAAATTTAGAAAACACTAGTGTCCGCGAGCTTTCGAACCAGAGTCAGCATGTCGTCCCAGAGTGATTCCCAGGATATTTCGGGGGAGCCTTCGGTAGAGATGGTGACATGCTCAGATGTGGAGTCTTCGAGTGTGGAGTCCTCGGCAGCCGGTGATGCCGCAGTGGCTATGGAAGTGGAGAAGGACCTCCAGGCCGAAGTCGAAGCCGAGGGCTTCGAGCAAGAGAACGAGGATGAGGAGCTTGCCCTTGCCGTGCAAACCGCCGAGCAGGAAGAGGAGAGGGAGCGGCTGAAGGTGACGGTTGCCATTCCTCCCCCCCGGGGTGCCGGGGAAGCCAGCTCCTCCCGGCCATTGGACCCGACACCAATAAGTGTGGCTCCCGGGAAGAAAAACAAGACGAAGGCGGCCCCGAGGAAGAAGCAAGCGGCAGTGGATGCCGGGCGGCCGGTGGGCATACCCGAGGGCCATTCGTTCTTGAACACTGCTGCTCTAGAGCTGAAGACGAAGGCGTCCCCGGCAGAATACCAGTCCACCCAGATGCTGGTTGGGCCTTCAGCGCGCGTGGTGGAGCCCAGGGCGGATGATTTGCTGCGATACGCGCCCGAGGGGTGCTTTGCTGCTCACACCCTCTCGGTGGAAATGGGGCTCCGGTTCCCGCTCCATCCTTTCCTCTTGGAGTACCTGAGATTCGTGGGGTTGGCCCCTTGCCAGCTAACGCCCAACAGCCACTCCTATGTGGCCGGCTTCCTTTCCTTGTGTCAGAGCCGGGGGGTCGAGCCCACACTCGACCAATTCTTCATGTCCTTCAACCTGTGCCGGGGGGGACATTCAAATGCTGAGGGCTTTGCCAACCTTCAGCAGGTACCAGAGTTCCGGCTTTTCGATGATGTGACCTCGTCTCACAAGGGGTGGAAGGAGAGGTTCTGTTATATCCGCCTCGAGGAGAATCCCTTCCCGGCCCAACTCCGTAATAGCTTCCAGCGCCACCCGAAGGTGGGGAGCGCAGCTTTGGAGAAGAACGACAAAGTGCTTGCCAAGAAGCCGGAGGGGTCTGACAAGCATGTCAAGATCAGAGAAGTCACCCTTCCGGAGGATCTGCTTAACCTATGCTTCCGGCAGTTCAGGCCGAGGGGCTCCTCGGATGAGAGATACCCTCCCCTCGATCGGGTCTTCGAAGGCGCCGGAGGTGATCACCGAAATGTTCACTGATGCGTTGATAGTTCTTTCGCATTCCGCCTGTTTTTTTTATGACGTAGTGACTGGTAGCCTTCGATTTAACCCTTCTGTTTTTTTTGTTGCTTGCAGGTAGCAATATGGACGTTGGTTCCCTCTTCGCTTTAAAAAACGCGAAAGGAAAGAAGAAGGCCCCGGCGGGCGCTCCTTCTAGGGAGGGGCCCTCTCAAACTGTTGGCGCTGCTGCTGGCGCCGGAGGGTCCAAGGGTTTCGGGCCCGTAAAAAAGAAGGTTGCTGGAAAGGGGGCCGAGCCCCCGGCCAAGAAGCCGAAGACCGCCGCCCCTACCAAACAACCGATCACCGATGTGGTGGTGATTGTTGACGAAGGGCACGCTTCTGCCTCCACCCCCAGGAACAAATCAATCAGGAGTTCTTTGGGCGGGAGAGGTTGGAGGCGATAGTGCCGAAGGGGGCCTCCGTGTTGGAGGGCAATTTGAACCCTTCGGCTTTGATGAGCCAGATGCTGCCGTCGGCTGACCGGCTGGCCCTTGCCCGGCTAGACGAGGGACCCCTCGAGGCGAAGGTCCTCCTGAATGCCGCCTCCGTAAGTCCCCCTCTCTTCCCTGCTCATTGCTATGTTTTTCTTCCGTACTCTGTTCCTTATGCCTTATTTTTGCCTTCGTGAATTGCAGGCTTTCATGGGCCTCTGCGAGCACCTCCGAAGGGTGGATCAAATGAGGGAGGCCAAGGGTGCCGTCGAGGGGGAGGCTGCCCTCCTCAGGAAGAAACTCGCTGAAGCCGAGGACTCTCTATGGCTGGCCACCGACGGCATGGAGCAGAGGTTGCAGGCAGCAAGGGCCACCGACGCCCGTATCGCTGCCGATGAAGCCCGCGCGGCTCAAGAAGAGGCTGTCTCCAAGGCCCGAGAGGATGCGGTGGCCAGCTTCGTGGCCGAGGGGTGGAAGGCCGAAGACCGGAGGGAGTGGCTGGCTTCGGTGGTGGGGGCTTCAGTAGATGAGTGGGTCGGGGGCCTCGGGAAGATGTGGCTTGCTGAGAGGGGCGACTCGTACTACCAAGGCGGGGAGTTCTTCACCCAACGCCTCATCTACCGGAAGCTTGCGAAGCACTTCCAGGTGGCACCGGAGGAGTTCCGTCCCGAGGCTTATGGCCTCCCCCCCCCCCCCCCCCCCCCCCCAGCCAGATGTCAGGATCTCGCTCCCCGAGGGGGAAGAGAGACCGGTTCTTGAAGACTCGGAGACCCTCCGGGAGTGCGGCCTTGGTGGTGAAGAGGATGAAGCCGAGAGTGAGGCGATATCTACAGTTCCCCCCTCTTAAATTGTACTTCCCCCTTTTGGTGTTGTAATTTGTTGGCCTCGGCCCCCTTTGTAAAGCACAATCAAACTACTTTTTTCTTTGTTGAATGAATGAGTACACATGCCCTCGAGCCCCTGTTATACAATCTGTTTCCTTTAGATTTGTTTATTGCCGAATGCATGCCTTCGTCTTGATTTGGATGTATGTCTTGATATTTGGAATGTATGTTTCCGGACTTAGAATGTTTTCTGATTGTAGCTTGCCACTGGAAGCCTTCGGTAGTTGGGCACCCTCTGCTGGATATGCAACTGAGGGTTCTGTAGGAATTAGGACTTAGAAAATTTCCCTAAGTGTAGCACAGTGTGGGGCCTTCGGGTGTTTGTAGTAACCCAATCCATAGGACTTAGAAAAATTTCTAAGTGTAGATCCCACCTTGAGAGCCTTCGGGATACGGCGTCCCTTCCTGACGTGTGAATGTTTGGACCGAGGGCCCAATGCACAGGACTTAGAGATTTTTTGCAAGTGTAGTATGCCATGTAGCCTTCGGCTACTGTGGAGTCCCAACTGAAATATTGAATAGGCCGGGGGCCAATTCTTTAGGACTTAGAAGATTTTCTTGAGTGTTGATTCCTTGTGTACCGTAGCCCTCGACTGATAGGTAGCCTTCGGCAATTAGGTCCCTCGAGATGAGGGCGAAATATGTACGACTTAGAAAATCTTCTAAGTGTAGAGTTTCCCTTGGGAGCCTTCGGGAGTTGGCATCCCTTCATGATGTATGAGTAGCTGTCTGGGGAAAACATGTAGAACTTAGAAAATATTCTAAGTGTAAATCTCCCTTGGGAGCCTTCGGGAGATGGCATCCCTCCTTGGTGTATGAGTAGTTGACCGGGAAAAACATGTAGAACTTAGAAAATATTCTAAGTGTGGATTTTCCCTTGGGAGCCTTCGGGAGATGGCGTCCCTCCTTGATGTATGAGTAGTTGGCCGGGGGGGGAAACATGTAGGACTTAGAAAATCTTCTAAGTGTAAATTTCCCTTGGGAGCCTTCGGGAGATGGCATCCCTCCTTGATGTATGAGTAGTTGACCGGGGAAAAACATGTAGGACTTAGAAAATATTCTAAGTGTAAATTTCCCTTGGGTGCCTTCGGGTGATAGGTGCCCTCTGATTCCACATCACTTTGCGAGATGCCCTGGGGCTACTCATTCAGGACGGAATACCCTCTTTTTTTTAAGTGTTGTTGTATTGCATGGCCTTCGGCCACCATATTCCCTTGGCTGTAATATTGATTGGGCCGGGGGCTCCATCTTTAGGACTTAGAATTTTTTGTAGTGCTGCTTCCCTGTGTAGCCTTCGGGTGCCCGGGGGCTGCTCCTTCAGGACTTAGGATTTTTCTAAGCATAAATTGATGTTTTTGTGACCGGAGGTGACCAGGTAGTGGACTTTAGCCGTTTCCTGATGATATTTCTTTGAGTAGTATCTTTCGGGAAATAGGAGTCTTCAATTACCGGAGGTGTTCCCGTGGGGAGCCCTCGGCATGCTGTGATATTGTTGGAGTGTACTCTTCGATTTCTCGCCGAGTCTACTCCCCTTCACCCCCTTTTTTTTTTTTTTTTTTTTTTTTTTTTTTTTGGTTGGTGGTGAAGGGAAGGCATCAAGAAACTTGGTTTCTTGGTAAGGCTGGGCCTATTAGGAGACCATCAGAATACACCAATGGCTCTCCTCCCTCGGGTTAACCTTCCGAGTGCCGAGGGGATCGAGGGACGTTTCCTGGGCACAAGATATGGTGGTCCGTAACCTGCCTCCCCTTGGGGGATGGCGCGGAAAGCGCCTCATTTTTGAAAGTCGTCCCCTCGGCGCTAGACATAGTCTGTGGCCTGCCACACCCTTGGGGTGTTGGCGCGGGGAGCGTTTCGGTTTGGAAGTCGAATCCTGGGCATTTCTCATGCCTGTCATACCCTGGGGGTAATGACGCGGATAGCGATCCGTTTTTGAAAGTCGAATCCTGGGCATTTCTCATGCCTGTCATACCCTGGGGGTAGTGACGCGGAAAGCGTTTCAAGGAAGGGTTTTCATTTGCACACTAGTTGCAAATGGCCGGGGGCACTACGTGCCGCCGGCACCGATGGTGGCGCCTTCGGTTTATGCGTCCTCGTGGGGTACGGCTTTTAGAAACAACACTTGGTGTTAGTTTCGATGTGTAGCCCCCGGTACTTGGTACCGAGGGGTTTTCTGTAGGAACACTTGGTGTTCTCTTGTTGTAGTTGATGTAGGCGTCTACCCTCGGTACTTGGTACCGAAGGGTCTTCAAATGAAACACTTGGTGTTTCCCAATAGATGTTTGGAAGCTGTTAGGAGAGCATATCTCTGGCACTGGGTGCCGAGGGGTCTTCTTTGAAACACTTGGTGTTTTTTCTTCGTTTCGATATTTGATGAGGGAGGTGTACCCTCGGCACTGGGTGCCGAAGGGTCTTCTGTAGGAACACTTGGTGTTCTAATCTTTTCTTTTTTTGATGTTGAAGGTGGGGAAGTACCCTCGGCACTGGGTGCCGAGGGGTCTTGACTGAAAACACGAGGTGTTTCTACTGTTTGTTGTAGGTGTTGATGGTGTCCGCCCTCGGCAATGGGTACCGGAGGGGGTTCTTCTTGTGGTGAGGCCTGGGGCCTGTAGTCAGTATGAGGGCTTGATGTCTTGAATGTATCTTCATTCTTCGAAATTGGAGGCCTTGGGCCATTGGATAGTACATTCACTAGTTATGAGGGATTGGCCGCTCTTACATTATTGATAAAATTTAACTAAATGGTGTACATTCCAGTGCCTAGGGACCTCTTTCCCGTTGGGGCGTTTGAGTTTGTAAGTCCCGGGTTTGATGATGGCTGCTATGATGTAGGGGCCTTCGAATTTTGGTGCCATTTTTCCTCCCTCGGTTGGTTGGCTGGCTTCCCTCCTCTGGAGGACATAGTCCCCCACTTGGAATTCCCGGGTTCGAACTTTGGCGTCGATGTAGCTTTTAACTTGCCTTCGGTAGTTTTCTGCCCGGATGAAGGCCTGCTCCCGGCGTTCTGAAATGAGGCGCAGGTCGAGGGCCATGTTGCTGTCGTTGACCTCGGGGTCATATTGGATCACCCTTTGGGTAGGAAGGGTGACTTCCGTAGGAGCTTTGGCTTCAAAACCGTAGCAGAGGGAGAAGGGTGTTTCACCTGTAGCGCGCCGAGGGGTAGTGCGGTAGGCCCAGAGGATGTTGTGAAGTTCTTCCACCCAGCCACCACCCTCGGCCTCCAGCTTCTTTTTGAGGCCCTCGAGCAAGGTCCGGTTGGCGTTCTCTACTTGCCCGTTGCCTTGAGGGTAGGCAACGGAGGAGAAGGTGTGTTTGATGCCCCATGCCTCCAGAAGGGCACGGAAGGGGGCTGCCTCAAATTGTGTTCCATTGTCGGAGATGATCTGCTGGGGGACGCCAAACCTTGTGAGGATGTTCTTGAGGACGAAGTGACGGCACTTCGCCTCTGTGATGCTGGCGAGGGGTTCAGCCTCCACCCACTTGGTGAAATAGTCGACGGCCACAATGATGTATCTGTTGTTGGAGGTACCCCTCGGCAGAGGGCCCACAAGGTCTATCCCCCATCGAGAAAATGGGACAGATGTGCTGATGGGGGCATAGTTGACCGCTGGCCTGCCGGGGGCTTTCTGGAAATGTTGACATGCGGTGCACCTCCGGGCAAGGTCAGCACAATCCCTGGCCATGGTTGGCCAGAAGTAGCCCTGGAGAATGAGCCTTCGGGACATGGAGAAGGGTCCCTGGTGAGCTGAGCAAGTGCCACTGTGCACTTCCTCCATTGCGACCTCGGCTTCATCTGGATGAAGGCACCGAAGTAGCGTGCCATTGTAAGATCGTTTGTAGAGCCTTCCATCTTCGATGGTGTAGCTGGGAGCCCTCAGCTTTGCCAGTTTAGCGCGGGCCTCATTCTCGGGTAGCTGCCCTGTGGAGATGAAGGCGGTGATATCTGAAATCCAATCCTCCTGACGTTGTTGTATGTTCATCACGGGGCTTGCATGGATGCTTGAGAGGCTGAGTTCCTCGATTTTGGCAATCTTGGAGATGTGCTCGGGGGAGTCTGCCGAGAGTTTAGATAATATGTCGGCCTCGGAGTTCTGATCCCTCGGTATTTGAGTGAGAGAGTGTGCCTCAAATACCTTAAGCAACTCCTTGGCCGCTTCCTTGTACCGTTTCATTCTTCCTTCCTTGGCCTCATATTCTTCGGAGATTTGGCCAACGACCAACTTGGAGTCGCATTTGATGTGGATCTGCCGAGCCCTCATGTTGGCAGCCAGCCGAAGGCCACATAGGAGGGCTTCATATTCGGCCTCATTGTTGGAGACTTTGAAGGAGAAGCGGATTGCATAGTAGGCCCTGAAGCCCTCGGGAGTAATGAGGACTACCCCTCCCCCGCATGTTTTGGTCGCGGATGAGCCGTCAGTGTAGAGGGTCCACCAGTCGTCCGAGGTAGCCGAGGGCTCCCCGTCTGTGGCTGCTCTTGCGGTACATTCCGTCACAAAGTCCGCTAGGGCTTGGCCCTTGATGGCAGGCCTTGGACGGATGTCAATGTTGTACTGGCTCAAGAAGATAGCCCATTTCACCATGCGGGAGGAGCTGGTGGGGCTCCTCATGAGGGCGCCGAGGGGTTGATGGGTGAGGACCTGAACCGGGTGAGCCTGAAAGTAGTGGCCCAACTTCTTGACAGTCCAAACGATGGCTAACACCGTTTTTTCCACAGGGGAGTACCTGAGCTCGGCCTCCCTTAGGGTCTTGCTAACATAGAAGATGGCATGTTGGATGCCGTCTTCCTCCCGGATGAGCACAGAGCTGATGGCCGCCGGGCTAACCCCAAGGTAGAGGTAGAGGGTCTCCCCTACCTTGGGTTTGGAGAGCACAGGAGGTGAAGATAGATATCTTTTGAGCTCGTCGAAAGCCCCCTGGCATTCTGGAGTCCATAGAAAGCCAGCCGTCTTCCTCATGATCTGGAAGAAGGGTAGAGATTTTTCCGCCGATTTAGATAGGAAGCGGTTGAGGGCTGCCAGGCGGCCCGTCAATCGTTGAACTTCCTTCACATTGCGTGGGGGCTCCATGTTGATGATGGCCTGGATTTTCTCGGGATTGGCCTCAATACCCCTTCGGCTCACCATGTAGCCTAAGAATTTGCCCCCTTGGACGCCGAAGGTGCACTTCTTCGGGTTTAGCCGAAGGTTGAATTTTTGCATGATGGCGAAGATTTCCCGGAGGTCGTCAGCA